AAATAGACACAAGAGGCAACGTGTGTGCCCTGCAATACACACACACTCACATACACACACACGCACGCGCGCAGACACACGTGCCTAATCAAAATGCTGCATTAGAATAATCTTTAATCGAGTCGTATTTTTAGCTGGAAATGATTAACCAAGGCATTTAGAGCCGGGCAACCTTTTCGATGAGCCAAGGAATCTCTGTGGCCAAATCTGAGCAACTTCCTGGGATTAGTCGAGTCATACGAATGCCAACCAGACCGTGTGTGTGTGTGTTGTTATGCGCGTGTGTGTGTGTGTGCGGGCGTATGTGTGTTAGCATGTGGCATTTACTGGGTCTTTACAATTTAACGCACTGCCAAGTTCAAATACACAAAAGCGCTGCCATCGACTTGGCCAAAAAAAAAAAAAAACAAGTATCAAAATTTCAGTCGGGCTTAAGCGACTGGGCCATACTTTGTTTGCAGCTAAAAAGAAGAGTCTGGTTAATTGTTGTCCTTGGCGACTCGATGACTAAGCCCAAAACAGTGGACGTGGCTAAAATATTTTTGGCTCTTTAGACTACATTATTTATCTGCTTATCTGATTAGGGGCTTGAGGAGGAGTATGTCGTTTCGATACGAAGGAAAACGTGTATATATTTTAAGTGTCAAGTCTCTAGCAGACGGACATAGCACACGGCGAATATGCTCCTGTATACTTTGTAAACAGAGTATTAAAAACACAGCGTAAAAGGTGGGACGCTCGGCAGGATCCAATGCACACGCCTCCGTTAACAATAATTTACGCAACTTTGCGCCTCTTTTGTAAAAAGAAAATAGCTTACAAAAAGCGATCCTGAAACATGCGCAACCAAGGGGCAACAAAATGCTGCCCAGATGGACGGCAAAAACTCATAGTAAAAGACCATTAAATTATCCAGCGGGAAACATGTGAATGGAGAGGGCGGGGGCACAACAACAATAAATGTGCGTGTGTGTGTGTGTGTGTGTGGCACATTTGTCAAATTGCCGAACCACAAGTTGGCAGCTTTAAGAAGCCGTCAACAACAAGAACAATTGCTCAATATTTTATTAGTCTAATTTAATATTTGTTACATTCGTTTTTTGTTTTTCGTATTTTTTTGTCAGCCCTGGCAGATTGACGAATTCTTGTGGTGGCCCTCTTTAATATTTATTAAAAGTCCTGTGCGTGCCGCCACTCGGGGGAATTACTTGAACTTCTTGACTCAAGCGTGCATAGCCCAGGCTAAGCATTGCTTGAGTCTGAGGTTTTGCTCTTCTTCTTTTTGTCGACTTTGGGACAGCTTTGTAATATGAGAAATCCATCGCCATCAGCTGTCCGGCTGTCTGCCTGTCCGTCTATCTATTGTTTGATGACTGCTGCTTCCACGTAATTTTGTACTCATTTTCTACTTGTTGTGTTGTTTTTTTTTTTGGCGTCACAAAAAAATTTTGCATTTATTACATCGAACGCCTTCATTACATCCACAGCGAACTGACAAGTGACGAGCGTTTTCAGCGTGGGTGTTGCACAGTGGCACAAGCTAGCGCAAGCAGTGTGCGAAAATGTTTAGACAATGGAAAATACTGTTAATTCAGCATTTAATAGTTGTTACGCTTGAATATATGTGTAAAATGCTGTTGTATAACAGTGGCTTGCAACAGTGAAATATACCAGTGGCTTATGGTATATAATAATGGCGTATAACAGTAGTGTATAACAGTTATACGCAAAATATAACCGAATTGTACCATTTTCAATAAATTTAAATAAATGTTTAGATGCCATCGAATGCTCACTTAATACGTAAAGGAGTAATAAATAGAAAGCAATTAATGTAAGGGAATAATATATTTTGGTCTTCTTAAGAGAAAAACAGGATATCTAAACCAGATTAATATGGTCACGTTTAACACTTGAGAGCATAGTCTATTGATATGCAAATAAGAGAAGAGTCCTTAAGTTTAAGTAGTCATAGTTTCTTAAAGGAAAATATTTGCTAATATGAAGCATCGGTGTTCTTCCCTCGTAAATAAGTAAATTTGAATGACATGCAATATGTTGAACTGTTAAGCGATATTAATTAAAATTTAAATAATTCAAATTGAATCATTGATGACAATTGCCTTTGGCAAAGCCGCACTTCAATAATGACATAACCAGCTTGTAATTAACAGATTTTCAGACCTTCTGTGGCTCGATAAGTGGGTTTAATGAATTTAATTTACTCTGAAATTGATATCAATGCCTGGGCCTCATTTCACAAATGTCGTTGCATTTTGTGCGTATTGAAGGTCGATTACACTGCAAGAAAAACAATAACAACAACACGAACTATGTGGAATTTATCCACTGTGGCGCCGGCTGCCCAGCCTCTTCCCAACAGCAAAAGGCGCATTGCATGAGCCTGCCTCTGCCTGTCATTTAGTATGTAAATTGAGATAAATCGTTTCTTGTGTCTGCCACACACCCACATACACCCGCACACACCCGCACACACAATAATGTACAGGCATATACATATTATATAGCGACTTATATATGCATGTATTGTATATGTGCATATGTATAGGCAACGTAATATATAAGAAGGCCGTAAGTAAGTAACACGTCCTTATGCCAACAACAAAGGCAACACCAAACACCAACAACAACACGAATAACAACGGCAGCGGCAACAGCAACTGTCGCTGATGTATGGCGAGTGCGGCATACGGCGCGTATGAGTTATTTCCTGTACGAAGCCATTTTATTATTAAAAAACCCAGAAGCGTCCGTCAGTTGGAGTGAGATGGCATAACACGAGCCTGGCGAGCGTGACTAGCTTTGATGTTTGACTGAAGGCAGCCACATCATTTGGGGCGTGGCCGCAACTGCAACGGCTGCTGCTGCTGCAACTGCAACGTCTGCTGCTGCTGCTGCTGCTGCTGCTGCTGCACGCCACTTGAAGCTTTAAGTGCATAATTGCCTTAATTAGCCACCAAAACGACGTTTGGCTTGGCTGTTGGCTTGCGTGCGAACTGCCAGTGCTTGCAGCGCTCCTTGCAGGCGCTGCCTCAAGGACTCAACTCACACTCGCCTACACACACACACACACACGCACACATACATACATAAATGCATACACTCAGCGAAAAAAGAAAGGTATTAGATTTCATGCCCTCCAAAAATTACATACGTACATTCATTTTTCAAATAATTTTTTATTATTTTTATAAATCTTTTTTGAATTTAAAATCAACAGCGTGATACTTATTTCAAGAATGTTTAAATTGAAAAAACCTGTACAACGTTATAAATCTTAAAGCTAGCCACGAGAATATTGTCGTCGGTGATTGACTGACTGACTGAAATGCTGGAACTAGTTTAATTCAAGTCCACATTCCATGGGAATTATGAACTTTCTTTCATTTGGTCGTTTTAACATTTGGAAGGCACATTTCAAAATAGGATTTTATCGCACTTGCAGAAATGGTTGCATTTTATTTGGGTACAACATTGTGTTGCCTTTTCTCTGAGTGTATATGTATAATAGCTCTACTCCCTAGCTACCAATGCTAGGGCTAGCTATCAATGTGCTATGGTGCTGCTGCTCTGGCTGCCAAACTGATTAATCGCCCAAACGCTTTGTAAGCACTTTGTATATGCCGTTGCCCCAGCGACCCCATTTAACAGTCCAGCGACCGAAACCGGGCGACCAGCCCTCGCGCCCTCGCACAAATCACAAAAACTACACGAGCTCTTGTAATGCGCTTATAAATTTTGTCTGCACAAATTTTCACCCACACACACACACACACACACACATAGTGGGGCAACCAACCCCAAGCCCAAAACCAGTCCCCGTCATCGTATTTCGATGATGGCTTTCTTTCGTAGAGTCACGAGGTGGGGGGAGAGTCTATTGCGTAAAAGCTATCGATTATTTGTATAGTGTTCGTAATGCAACAAATGCAAAACCTGCAAAATTTTCCCATTTTCCCTCAATTTCTTTATTTTATTCTACCTTCTTTTTTGTTGCTGCCACGTGCCGCACAGTGTTAACAGGCACCTCCATTAAAAGGCCAGAATATTGTGTTTTTTGTTGTACATTTGAAATTCTTGCCAACTTTAAGTATAATTAATTCTTTTTACAATTTTAACTTTTTTCTTGTGAGCTCGGCTTTTAAGCTTGATGAAAAACGCAAACAATTTATAATTTCAATTATTGCCCCGGTTAAATTTAATGAAATTTCTACATGATTGACTTAATTGTTGCAAGTATTCAAAAGAAATGTTTATTTTTTACGAATGCATGAGTTTGATATTTATATTTAATTATTAGGAGACATACGATGGCCGCTAACGTGTTAAACTTTTATAAAAAATAATAGTATACATTTTTTAATAAGCATTACATTAATTTAAAAAAAAATGTTAAAGCATTGGCCGCTTCTAATGTGAGTATTGAAATGAATGCAATTGGTAGCGCAGTTGTTTGTGGGTTTGACGACAATTTCAGTACAAAGCCGCGCAGTTTGCCCTCAAGCATTCGCTTTGAATTTGCATGACAGCATTGCCGTTGACAAAAGAAACGAAATATCAATTTTAATTATTAATAAAACAATAAAAAAAACAGAGATATATAAAAAATAATTAAAAAGAATTGAGTGAATTCATTCAATAATAAAAATAATTTTAACTTTAAAAATTTGCAGCATTTGCTTTTGCCTTTAAGTCCGACGCCTAGACACTTGCCTTTATACCTCTCGTTCGCCAAAGAAACTTGTTGCTGTTTTTGACCACAGATTTTCCCCACTTACAGATCGAATTTATTCAATCCCAACTTAGTTTTCGATCAGAACAAACTCTTATATGTATAGATACACATATATGTATACATAGATCGCAAGTCAGAAAATCTAGTATATATTTAGCTGAAAAGGCTAGAAAATCATAGAAAACTTTCTGAATTACACTGTTTTTTACTCTATTTCATTCTTTTATCTCTCTTTACTTTGCAGCTTTAACCTGCGTCTCATCCTGATTGCATTGGTTTCACTGTGCTACAGGTAAGGCTAAATATATATGGACCAATTTAATTTTCACAGCCGCTTCCGTTGCTTATGTGCTTTTCTGTGTGTGTGTGTGTGTGTGTGTGTAGCGATTGCTGCTCTACCCACACACACGAACACACAACCACTGTTGAACCCATATAGGCGCTTGTTTGGTTGCCTATCAATGAATATTTGTGTGTGTGTATTATTTTTTTATTTTCTTGTTTAGGCAGCTGTATATGTGGGTCGGTAATTGCTTTGCAACGAAATAGAGCATAACAAATTTCACGAGGCGTAAGTTTATGCACAGCCCAGCTCGCTTTACAGCCACAAGCTGCAGCTTGAGCCGCCAGAAAATCGGGCCCAAAAAGCTGAAGCTAACAAGTTAGGCCGTTCTAGTCGGGCGTAAACGACCGCCCAATACTCTAGCCAGGGCTGCTAAGCGGATTTCAAGGGAGCCGACTCGAATCCGAAATTCGAATTTAGTTTTTACAACGAACCGAACCTCAAACCCAATCAAAAAAGGGAACCAAACTGAAACCTGAACTATATGTATTTTTTCAATGCAAATTGCTTGAGCTTAGGCCGTTATAATTGCAATAATTTAACCATATTTGATAGCTGGCAACTTTTCGCAGCGATCAGATTTAATTATTGGAATATTTTCGGTAGAACGAGCAATTGTTAATTAAAAACTAAATTCATTTCAATCTAATTTAGTTACTATATAAATAACAAGGGTTTGAACTAATATCTGGGTTCAATTGTGTAAAACCCCAGCTTCACAAACTGAACCTTGAAGCAAGCAGTTAGTTCAGTATATAAATTATATCAAGTATCATAAGGCATACAAAATATACTCTCTTGTACACTCTGTAAACAGTGTATAAGAAGTGTGGGTCCAGTCAACAGTTTGTTAGCGCCGTTTGTGTGTGTGCGGCGGCTAATCGAAGTTTCACTTAGCAAATCAACAAAGTTGTTCGCATTTGTTGTTGTTTTTGTTGTTGTGCACACCTAGGCATGATTAGCATTCCGAGCAAAGCCACAACGACGCAACAATTTGCAAAGTGAATTAACATGCCAGCGTCCACGTAGTTAGCCAAAATCCATGCCCCTCCTCCCCCGCCGCACAGCCAAAAAAGGACACCAGTCGCGGCGACATGTTCAACTTTGAATACAGGCATTGACGTCAGAATCAGAGCCACAGCCAGTGTTGGGCAACGAGCTGTTTGGGGAATTGTGCGCGCATTATCTCGTTGCTGCCAGCAGGCAGGGTGGGCGTGTGGGCGTGGCACTGTTGGCTAATTGGCCAACGGCAGCACAAAATTATAATTTGCATTTATAATTTTATTGACAATAAAAAGTATTTAATTTTTGGCCCAAAAATCTGATGGCCTCGTGCTGCTGAGCTCTCTGCTGCTGCCGCTCTGAGCTCTGAGCTCTTTTGGCACGCTGCGGGCGTCAACCAGTTACCAACAAGTCAACACTTTAACTAATGCTGCTCCTAACGACAACAACAACAGCAGCAACAACAAGGACACATTGGGCAAGCAGAGCGCCAGAATTTGTCATGAAAAATTAAAAAACAAACTGAAAATTGCATATTTCGACAGCTTTTCAGGCGTTTGCTGACGTGCATAAAAGTGGACAGCGGATGGTTGAGCCACACGGGTCGGGTCGGGACGGGGACGGGGGCGGGGCGGGACGGTTTGGGTAACTGAAAGGCTAGCGGAAAACTCGAAAATCCTCTTAATAATTCATAAAACTTTAGAAAACTACTTAACTCTCTCAAACTACTAACTGAATCAAACTAAACTAAAGCAACTGCTGGCGCTGTTGCGATTGGAGACCGGGCAACTAGTTGGGTTTCCTCTGCTCTAAGGAGGCCAAGTGCCTGGCGGCAATAAAAAAAAATACACACACAAAAGAACAGCTATCTAAGACACGACGAAGATGAAATGCTCTTGTAGATATGTTGCATAGAAATGCGTTCCTTTTCCGCTTGCAATTCTCAAATGGTTTTAGTTACGGCCAGCTTAAGGCTTGTTGCGAGTTGCCAACACGCTACTTTTCTTGTCTTCAGAAGCAATAATGTTCAATAAACGTCGAGGCAGAGCTTTCTTGCTGACAAAAATGATATAACATTAATACACGTTTAATAATATTAGCATTAACTCCCTTACTTTATGAGCGGTCGTATATACGATTCATTTTTAATAACTAATTCATCCTGAGATGAAAATAGAGCTATATGCTACAGTGAACCGATATTGATAAGACTTGGCACATATAAAAGGAGCACAGCTAAACTAATAAATGCCAAGTTTGGTCAGAATATGAGAACTTGATGAGCAACTGGAAGGTTTTGTCATACCAGAACTAAACTTTCGACGGAGGAATGCACCTTCAATATAATGTACCGATTCAGCCCATTTTGATATATATATTGTCCGCGACAGAAAAACATATACAATATTTTAACTTATAAATATACACTCTTTGGTACAAACAAGTTTCCTAGTATGCGTTGCACATGGCATAAGATAAGTATAATACCCTTTAAAAGGGCATAAGAAACCGGCAGAAGAAGTGGGCGTGCCGCTGCTGTTATATAGTTACACCTAGAGCCTACATCTTCAGCTTTTCAGCAGCTGCGAGAGAGAGAGAGCGAGCAATAGAGAGAGCAAGAGAGAAAGCGAGAGCTGCCCGCCGCTGGGCAGTCGTAAACTTGGCCAAGTTTGTCGCCTTCAGACTCGCAACTGTGGCACACAGTGATGAAGTCCGGGCCCGGCAACAGTTCATCATATTTACAGCTTTGTTAAGTTATTTTTGCTAGATCCTTCCCCCTATCCCACTGAAAAAGCGTTGCATGAAAGATGCATGAATGCTGCCCCCTGCAGCCCGCCTCCGACAAATTTAGTTGTACGTATTGTTGAGATTGCCTGTTTAAAAGCTAATTTCGAGCGTGCCAAACAAAAAAAAAAAAGAAGATGTATTTATATATAAAGCTCGTGTATATGACAAAAGTTGTCGGTCGGCAAGTTTTGCGCCTTTCAATTTCTCTTAACTAAGTTTGAGTTGTCTGCTCTGCGCTCCTCCTGGCTGCTTTTGTAAGTGACAAGCCAAATGGCATGTCTTCAGCTACACGCACTGCAATCTAATGCTGCTTCGTTGTAAGAAAATGGCAGAAACAGCAAGAAAAGACATGTTCCTATCTACCCGACGGCGCTTAAATACCCTTGCAATTGCAATTGTTCAAAGTTATTTTTTGTTAGCCAGAAACTTTATTTCGGAACAATTGTTTCTTTTTAACAGTTATAAGATTCAGTTCTCCGTCAAAATAGCAAAAATTCCTAAAAACCTAACAATATCAAGGCGAACCGATTTGCTACTGGGATTGACACGAACAGCTTGCTCAACAGGTGAAGTCTGCCGAGACTAACATTATAGAATTAATGGATTCTTTAAAATTCCTCTTGCTATACATAGTGACTGCCCTATGATTGCATGGAATACACAACAAACGACATGTCCCCTAGATTTATACCCAATAGTTGCAAAATATCTGATACTTAGTTCTTAACACTGCAGGCTTTCTTATCTCTTATAATTATTTGCAAAATTTTGAGAAAAAAAACAATGTATCGATGTCGAATACATTCTTATCCAAAGTACATATTAGTAAGAAGGGAATATATAGTAAAATTTGGAGAATATTTTCAATTATTCTTTTTCGAGTCACGAACTTAATTATGCTCACGTTCAGCTATTCAGTCCATGAATTATTTGATTGTTCCGCTGACTCAAAACAAGCATGAATAGGTTTTTTGGTTTCTCAGCTACACTCAACGAAACGTCACAAATTTCCTGATGAAATGGTCATAGCCTCTACAAAAGGGTATTAGAAGTTTCATATCAAAAAATGAGAAACTACTTAACTATAAACTATAAACAGAATTCGAAATGAATGCCGCTTTTAGCTGGCTTCAGCTGTTGCTGCTGCTCCTGCTACCTTTGCCCATTGAGCTGCTCCAGCTAATTGGGTCAGTTGGCGGAGGTTGGCCATTGACCAATGCAGTTGCCAGCAGTTCGTGCTGTAATTAACTGAAGTCTCCGATGCACACAATTCTAAGGAAATCCAAATCACTCATGTGAACAATTGCCAATTAAAGAATTACCCTTTGGTTGCTACCGGCAAATAACAAAAATATATAAGCAGACGAAGATTATTAAGCCTAATTAAAATCAAGTGCAGATAAGATAGTAATTTAATGGTCAAGGATTCAAAATCTAAATTTATAAAAAATAGAATTAACAGAAAGACACTTATAACATAACAATTGTATATTGAAATGCGAAGCAGAATCTTCATAATCAGTCAAGAAGTTAAACCATGATCAAAATAATATCAAAAGTAAAACTCGCTACACTTTTGACAAAGTCTTAAAACTTTGAGGTTGAGCAATTCATTAACTATGAAATCAGAAACTTCTCATCTTGTGATTCATGCCATTTTTGACTTTAGACCCAGATAAATATGTTATTATTAGAAGAAATTCAACAAAAAACACAGTTCGTTCCTTCTATTTATATGGAGTGTTTTTATATATTTGAATGATATTTTTAATTAACTGAAAATCAACCCTTTCACGGCGTTGACTGCTCTGTAATTATTTGACACATTAAACGTTTTGTGATTTATCCGATGTGAATAAATGAATGCGAACGAGCACAGCAAGGCACAGCCAGGGGGCAAAAGGTGAGACAGGGTAAAAAGCATAAAAATAAAGGTTTGAAATTTTAATCGCTCCTTTGCATGCAGCCAGGAATCCCAGAGGAAGCATTAGAGAGAGGCATAAAAAAAAGAAAACAAATAGAAAAGAAAAAACAAAGCCAAATAAAAGTTAAATAAGAAATGCTTGAAAAGTTTTCACACTCTTCCGTTTTACTGGAACTGAGGAACTGGCTGGTAGCTGCCGGTTGATGATTGTTATCAGAGTTTGACTTGAAGTTAA